CCCCAATAATTTGTTAATAATCATTCTTTTTCAAAATCATGCAGACCTTTATCATTTAATCCATGGCAAACTGCAAAGAACGAAAATATTACCCATACTTTCCTGCAACTTATACAATAACATTTCTCTCTTTGTCTTTTCATTCTTTCTGCCTTGTCATTCTCTTAGTCTTTTCATTTAATCTTCCTTGTCTTTGTTTCTTGTCTTTGTTTGTTGTCTAGTGGTGAGCACCTTGCATGGGACATAGTCTCGTTTGTGTTTTGCCACTTTTGGCACTTTCCTCGTCTTCTTGTACAATGTAATTATCCGTTTAAGTTATGTAAATATTCAGTTTTTTATGTGCCAAATTAAAGTTGTTAAATAAATATATAGTTAATTAAATATGTAAATTTCAACATACTAAAATGCTGTTTTCTGACCATCAGAATTCTGTCAAATCTTCCCCAAAGTCCAGGAAATGGCATTTCAGAGACTCTAAATTTAAAAATTTCCTCGGGCATTTGGCCCTTGCTGTTCGCCCCACCCCCCCAAATCGACAAGAGCTTCCTACGGCCCTGCCTTAAATGAGGCCAAGCAATGCATGAAGCTAGAAAACTCAACGTTAACTATATAATTAAAGAATCTAAATAGTATAAGGTATTGAAAAAAAAATGCTGTGAAAAGAGGGAAAAAAAATGCACATGGTGTCGAATAATTATTGGCGAAGAATAATTATTGTAAACAAGTACAGTATTGTTGAATAGTCAACTTAACCCATTGAGTGCCAGCACTCTCCCCCTGACAAGTAAAATCGTCTGGCGTCGGACAGAATAGAATAATCTGGCGTTAGACAAAGTAAAATAACAAAAGGATTAATTAACTTATTGTACGAATTTTTTGAAGACTTGAAATCTTGCCAACCCTTCGGTTTTTAGTTTTGGAAGCTTTCTTTTTAAGAAAATTCTTGTTCATCTTGCTAACAAGAATTTCCCTTGTTAGGCCAATGAAAATTGATATCATGTTTCTCGTCCCCGCCTGCATGGGATTTATCTGCCGCACGAAAATTTTTCATTATTCATTATTTTTGAAAAATAGGCTTAACAAAACACCAAATTGATCTCCAGATCAAAGTCTTATTGCTGCATTCCGCAAGCGCAACTCAAATTGTATCTTTCTAAAGATATTACTCGCCAGAATGCCTCTATTTTTCATGTCAGCCCTGGTATTAAAGTCATTAAATTAAAATGAATTATAGACCGATGTACTTCAGATTTTTATGGGGTTTTTTACTGGGTCAAGGAAATTATTGACAAGCAGAATTCAAATACAAAAAATAATGAAGAATGAAAAATGAAAAAATCCCGCTCCAAATTTTTGAAAATTGTGGACGAGAAACATGATATCAATTTTCATTGGCCTTATCCAAGGTGTTGTTATATATTTTCTTACCAACCTTGCAAGTTTTAAGCGGAGCATGTTTATCAACAATTTCAGGAAATTTGTTCTTCCAGATGTGGGTTTGGATCAGTGTAAGATAGTAAGATTCAAAATGCATTGAAATAATTGTTAATTAAATTGTCCTTAAAATCTCAAAATTCAATAAATTGTTTCTCCCTAAGTAAGTAGTGATTATTGAAATTTTTTAATACCATATGTCAAGTAGTGATCGCTAATTGTTATTTTTGAATCTCTCTCTTAATTAAACAATATTTTGTTTCCTATTGGTATAGAAATGGTCAATTAATTAATGACTTCGAAAAAATAGTTTCTCTTGTACCTTTGTCTGTTAATTGTTGGTATTGATACAAGTTGGTTACATAGTCGAAGTTGAGTTTTTTTTACAATGTCTGACAATATCTTTGTATAGATGACAAAAAAGCTCTGGTAGATGAGATAATGCTTTTGAAGGATGTTATGAAACCAGAGGTCATCAGATTATCACTTAGACGAAAGAGTCTTTGGCTCGATTACAGCAAGGCAAGGAAAAGCAGTTATCACCCCTCTCATCCCATTAAAATCACATTTTGTGGTGAACAAGCCATTGATGATGGTGGCCCGAGGCGAGAGTTTTTTTCAGGTATGAGAATATTCCATTTTAAGGGTTAATATTAATAGGTTTTCGCTGGAAATATGACTATCAGTTTGCCACCAGTCTTTCCTCTAGATATAAAAGATATAGTCTATGATACTGGCAACTAGTATTCACTATTCAGAGACCAGAATTAGGGTACTGGATTCTCAGGGGATAGTAAACTTTGAATCCTGGTATCCCAGTTGGATACTGAGAAAAGTATAAATTTCAGGCCCTGTTTGGGGTGTTACAATACATAAGTGCTATTATTTTTAGAACAAAATACAGTAGCTACTGAAACATCAACATTTGATATATATTACAGTTATGTTGGAGTACTGCAGATCAAGGCTTTTCTCTGAAGGAATTCCCATAAATTCAGTAATGGCCTTAGCAAATGAAGATTTTAGAGTGGCAGGAGAATTGATGGCAATGTCGATTGTGCAAGGTGGACCAGGGCCTTATCTTTTTTCTTCTGTGATATACAACATCATAAGCAAGGACCTTGCATTTGAGGACTGTAAGAGTAGTTTTATAAAGGACACATGCCAAAAGGTTTGTCAAAAACTAAACACTCTCACTTTAAAGGTACTGTAGGGTACAGTCTGTACAGTATGTAAAGTAACATGCTTACATTTCGGTATTCAAAATATTGAACTTTATTCGACAACTATTTATATTTTCATACTTCTACAGTATAGTAAAAGATCAAGATACAACAATCAGGCTTTGCAAGAACATAAAATGAAATAAAAACCTAATTAATTTAAAATGTTTATATCACGGCAGGAGACTCCTATGTGCGCAGACCGGACTGTACCCTATATTTAACCCATTAAGTTGGCATGGCTATTCTTTACAAGAACCTTGTACAAAGTAGATAGTTTGGATAAAGTGTGCTATACCTTAAGTAGTGTGCTTTGCTAAGAAAAGTAATTATAAACAGGAACAATGCCTAGATGATCTTACAGATCATGGAAGGCCTGAAGATATATGGTCTTCTATCAACAGTGCAAAAATACCCCAATGTGTGGAGGTCAGTTTTTGTGAAAGAATGCATGCCTGCAATAACACCAACAACTCTACTGGATGAGCTTGAAGCTGTTTACAGTGAATCACAGTTAATTAGGCAAAAGGAAGGTGATGTGTTTTACCAGTTTTGTGCAGTGATCAATTATTTGGGAATGAAAGAATTAAAGGCTCTTCTTCAATGGGCAACTGGTTTGTCATCAATACCACCACTTGGCCTGCCCAGAAAAGTCAAGATCACTTTCCTTGGTGGTTGTGATACAGGATGCAGGTGTAGGCCAACAGCATCAACATGTGACCTAAGAATCACTTTAGCATTACATCTTGACACGTTTGAGGAAATGCAAGAAATTCTTGTGTCTGCTTTGAAAGAATCTGATGGGTTCTACTTGCTATAAAATACATATTACACTACAGTATTATAGTAAAAAAATGCTGGTGCAGTATGGACACGTTTATCATGGATAATTTTGCTCATTTATGTGATAATGTTAACGTTTGTGATTTCAAAGGAACAGAACTTGAAAATTACTATTAACCCACTATCATGGCCCACCCTATATCTGCTAAGTACTAATTGGCTTTGAAATTCTGGTTATATAAATTATTATTATGTACTGGAAAAATCAATATAATATTTTTCTGTTAAGTCCATTATTTTAAATCTTCCCAAACATGACTGCAATCTTGAAATTAATAATAACACTTGGAGGTGGGGGGGGGGGGGCACACTAAAAGGATTAATGGTAACTTACACTATATATTACACTATATATTTACACAATACTATTTACCTAACTATGTGGTTCAACTTAGTTTATGAGCTTGTTCAGTTGTTGCACTTTCAAGGTTTCAGTGTTCTTTTAAGTACAAAGTTATTGTTTGGTTAACCCAAATATTATTAGTTACAAAAGAGTTGCACATCAATAAAGTTGTTATATCCTCTGTATGTAACCCATTGTGTGGCAAACTCGACCTCCCCTTGAGAAGTAAAATCATCTGGTGTTACACAGAGGAAAACAGACAAGTGGAGAGCATTGCAACTGAATGGGTTAAGGTTGCTAATATTTTCCTCAAAATTGTCAAAATATCCAAGGATGTAGAAATTCCATTCGAAAGGACATAGGCGTACGGTTTTTACCCGACGTCTTGTGACTCTCGCCACATTTTTTTTGCCTGACAGTAAACCAAAAATTGCCCGACTTTGCCCTATTTGGCAAAAATTGGGGGGCTGAAGCCCCTTGTACGCAAATGCTAAAGGAATTTATATCCTAACAAATCCTGTGGGTTATTTCCACAAACTCCATACAAGAGGTGAAGAGGGTTCCAATTTTTTATATTCAAAGGAGATGATAAGGAAACCCCCAACAGCTGGGGATGGGGGGTTAACCTTTAAGTGGCATAACGCCCAGACATGGCCTACTTTGTTATTTTTCTATGTCTAACACCAGACGATTTTACTCATCAGGGGGAGAGTGATGCCACTAAATGGGGTAAACCTATATTAAATGCATTGGCTAAAACAAGCTTTCGTTATTGATATTACTTGAAATGCAAACACATCCTCACTCTAATGACTTTCAATCAGTATTATTAGCTATTGACATAAGTGTAAAGTACATTTTCTCAGCTTCCTCCCAATTTTCAGGTTCTGAAAATGTAATATTTTGCAATATAAAGCCAAAGTATTCCTCATACATATCCCTTTCAACTTCATAGTGTAAAACGTTTTCCCTTGCAAAATTTATTTGCCCTTCAGAAATATTAAGAGCTAAGCCATCAACTCCTCTGTGTCTTTCTGGAAGGTGATAGAGTTCATCAGGTATACCTGCAACTGTGTCATGTCTAGAAGCCCTGATACAGTGGGTGTTCCATTGCTCTTTCACCAGATCCAGATCTTTTTGGATTAAAGATGAAAAACAAATCCAAAGGCATTCCATTTCAAGACCATTGTCTGTATTAAGGTGACCCCTTTCTATCATGTCTTTGACATAGTTCATCCACCATGTTGACCTGCTTCTTCTCAATTGTGATCACCAGGACTCAATTCTCTGGTTAGCTGGGGATGTTCCAAAAAAATGGGCATCTGAGGAGGAGCGAAATTCACACTGCAATGCAGCCATAACGCCATTCTCTGTTCCACAGTCTGATCGCAATTTCACAGGACAGCCATATATTCTGCCACACTTTCAACATAGAACAGTCCAGGAACTATTGGGTTGTTATTGGATCTTGCAACACAAAGCCAAATAATTTTCCTGCTCCATCCATCTATGCAGCCGTGGATGGGGAAACCATATGGCTTCAGTTTATCATATCCATCAGTTTGCCAGCAATGGTTGGGACCAGGCACCCGATATGTCCTTCTGCGTAAACACCTTGCTTTCCTGGAATTGGCATCCTTCAGGGTCAAGTTCTCTCATTAGTTGCTCAACAACATTACGTGGTACTTGATGGCCACCAATACAGAGTGCATGCCACATGGAACGATATCCTCCCATGCAGGCAGGGCCACGTCGTTTCTCCTGTATTAAAGCTCGTATTTCGTCTAAATTATACTCTGGTGATCTTCTCAAACCATAGGCGCTTAAACGTGATCTCAATGTACGCTCTGACATTGATATCCCATGTTGTTTTGAAAGAAAATCCACAATAGCATTATATTGGAATCCTCTAGCGAAGTAATACTCGATAATATCTCTCATCTTCTGAATCACTGGATGCACTCGACATTTAAATATATTTACAAGTCACAACTATTTTTTTCTAAACAAAAATCCAAGTGCTTTGAGTATTCCTATTTCCTCTGTAACATGATCAGTAGTGGTCAGCATTAACTCATGTGAAATATTGAAATCACAAAAATTTCTGTTGAAAATAAATTTCGGCTGAAAATAAATTTCGGCTGAAAACAAATTTCGGCTGAAAACAAATTTCGACTGAAAACAAGTTTCTGTTGAAAATAAATTTCGGCTGAAAATAAATTTCGGCTGAAAATAAATTCCGGCTGAAAATAAATTTTGGCTGAAAAAATTTTTGTCTAAAATAAATTTCGGTTGAAAATAAATTCCAGCTGGAACAAATTTCACAGAAAAAAAGTCGGTTTGAAAAAAAATTTCGGTTGGAAAACAACAAATTCGGCCAGAAAAAAATTCGCTCAGCAAAATTGATAACATAAACTGTATATTAAAAATAAATTGTGTGTTGCCGTTGTGTATGGCGTTCCATCACCGCCAAAAATCAATATTGCAATTCGACTTTTAACATGGGGAATCAACATTTAATTTTGCCCATAATTTTTCATATGGCTTTTGACAAATGTTTACCACACAAACATTTAACGACTTTCCTGCATGCAACAATGAACTTGGTGAAAAAAATCTAATATCAAAAGTTGCGATTTGCTATACTGAAAGTTGTGATTTGCACAGTTGAAAGTTGCGATCTGTCAAGTTTGAAGTTGCAATTTGTCAAGTTGAAAATTGCAATTTGTCAAGTTGAAAATTGCCATTTGTCAAGTTGAAAATTGCCATTTTTGAAGTTGAAAATTGCCATTTGCTGCCGCTTGTACAAAAGCCGCCAAAATTACATAATACAAACTTGTCATAATTACGTCATATATAAATTCTTGGAATCTTTGATTCATTTATAATCATGTTAAATTCATCATGGAGGAGGAATTGAAGGCCGTTAAAAATTCGCTTACTCGTGTGGCTAACACACTTGAATGAATAGAAAGTTCTCGATCTAGCCCAGGTATGTCAAACTTCTTTGAATGGTATAAACATTAATGTTTTTTAGATGAATATGGTTTGATTATAAATACGAGGATTAATGATTTATAATTGTGCTTTTATATTGTTTGGCGGTTTTGCTGGCACATGGCGTGATGGCAGCAAATTGTTGTTTAATATATCGGTGTTGTCTAAAGTGGTTCAATCGTTTATTCATTTCTGCCTGCCTGTACTACAGCAATAAGTAAACAAAACAAGTCACTTATATTGAACAATATTTTATTGTTGTGCATATTGAATTATTTAAATTATGTTATCGAAGTTCACTTCGCTCAGCAGCCAGCTATATTTGCATTAAAAAACTGTACCCCTCTCTATTGAAGACCACGGTTTTACAAAACAATTGAACAATTCCTTTCTTTTATCAAACCCCTTGAAGAATTCCAGTGGGTAGAGATATTGACCCCTAAATAAGTATAGGTTATTTTGAGGCAACGAGGGGGGATATGTGATTTATTCACCGAGGCGCGCAGCGCCGAGGTGAATAAACACATATCCCCAAGGTGCCTCAAAATAACGTACTTATTTTTCACACTGCGAGGTCTTGTTAAAGAGTCAGAAAAGAAATAATTCTTAATGCCATTTTGCCTTCGCGATGTTGTTTTTTCTCATTTTTTGTGCTGCAAAGACATTGCAGGTGAATATTAGAGGGGATTATTAATTGCAGGTGAATATTAGAGGGGATTATTAAACGGAAATTGATTAGAGGGGAATATTGAATATATTCCCCGACAAGAACAAAGGAAACCGAGCAGGGTGAAAAATAAGTTGCAATAAAAATGCAATTTTAAGATTTCCATATCAAAATTTCCTTACCCCTGAGGAATTCCAAGGTCCTTGATTGGGGGGGGGGGGGTATACCATGCACGATTTAGAGTGGCTTTATTATGGCACTCAGTTATAACACTGTTACAAGTGTTCCACAGTGTTAAACAATGTTATACTGTATATTCTTACATTCAGTGTTCCAGTGCTACATAGTGTTACACAGTGTTACATAGTGTTCCAGTGTTGACAGTGTTACATAGTGTTACATAGTGTTATACACACTAACCCTAACCCTAAACCCCCTCATCCTAAACCCCTAACCCTAAACCGCTAACCCTAAATAAAGATAGTGTAACACTTCTAACACTGTTACCTGAGTATATACTTGATAATACACTCGAAACCATGCATCATATGGGGGGGAAGGAGTTAAATGGAATAGCCCACTATATAAACTATATAGTTATATGTAATGTTTACAACATGAGCGGCCGTGTTGTATTGAATATATTATCACAAGCCGAAGGCGAGTGATAATATATTCAATACAACACGGACACGAGAAATGACTTGTGAAATGAATATATAATGAAAGTTTGATGAGATGTGAAGGGAATTAAGTGTTTTCGGATTAAATTAATTGTTTCCTTTTGTTTGATAAAGTGCCTCAAACAAATTAGAGCTTGAATAAGCTGAATTATTTTGCGAAGAGAGGGCGAATAGGTCGCATTTTGCCACTGTGATGGAAGGTGTTAGCTGGTACAGAACACCTTTGACAGCAGAGGAAGAGCGTCTTTTGGTTGCCAGTACTATTCCGAAGAATACAGGATATAAACACAAAATGGGCCATCAATGTTTTCGAACAATGGCAAAGTTGCCGAGAAGATAAGTCTGTTAGGAATGTGCCTTCAAGTTCAGTGAACTTACAAATATGTCAAGTCGAAGACTTGACTACACCACTACACTGTATGAATGCAGAAACATTAAATCTGTGGCTGAGTCGGTTTGTGGAAGAGGTTTGCAACGCAAAGGGGGAAAGATATCCAGGACGAACGTTGTATGTTATAATTTGTGGTTTGAAGTGATATTTGAGCGATAAAAGTGGATTGGATCCACTGTGTAAAGACGATAAAAGGTGAGTAGGCAGCATTTTAAAATGGTTGACATGACAAAACTAATAAATAGGTGTGGCTGGTTTTAATCGAGCTTTTTTCTAAAATCTCTGTTTTGTATTATAAGGTTTACGTTATTTCTTGACGGCGAAATGAGAGATGCAGCAAAGAAGGGAGTTGAAGTGAAATGTAGAAAGGATCTTCGCAGTGAAATTAGTGTGGTTTTATAATGGAAAGCTTTTCGGCCTAAGATCAAACGAGCATAGGCTCATCAGAGTTTCAAATATTGCAGTAAAAGATAACTTTATAATTTTTGATGAAAGTGTGTCAAAGACGTTTCATGGGGGGCTAAAGGATTAAAAAAAGAGTAGAAGGCTTATTGAGCACAAATGCCATGAAATAGGCGAGGAGCATAGTCATTGTTTAGTGAAGTTTTATAGTTTGTATTTGGAAAAAATAGCTGTGTGCATTGAGGCGAATCCTAATGCTTTTTATTTCAAGGCGCACCGAAGCGGTTGTTTTGCGTACGAAAAGAGTGCTATCGGTATAAATACACTTGCTAAAATATTACCGGATAAGTTGTGTGTGAAGGCAGGTATTGAGAGAAAAACTTCACACTGCTTGCGTATAACATGTGCTACTCGTCTGTTTCAACGTAGTGTAGAAGAAAAACAAATCAGGGAACGAACTGGTCACAGATCAGATTCTCTGTTTCGGTACGAAAAGCCAAGCGATGAACAAGTTAGTTTTGTAAGTAATGTGCTTGCACCTCCAATGAAGGAAAGAGGTAGTAGTGTAAGTGATGGGTCTATATTTGATGAGTTTGGGGATTTTGATGTTTCCGATGAAACGTTAGCAATGCTTGACATTACAGATTTTAGTGTGCATTCCGATACAAATGCCGTGAAAAATACGGATTCTTCACCAAGTACATCGAGTTATACAATAGCACCAGTGTTTAATAACTGCGTGTTTAATTCTTGCGATAACTTTTGAACTGGAAAATAAATTGGTGCTTGTTAAATAATTTGGTGCTTATTAAATAATTTTGGTATTGGAATAAATAAATGTGATTTTGTTGTTATAATGCATCTCTTAATGTTGGATAATGACCGATGAGATTTTAATAAATATGCAAATTAGTTACAAACACTCGTGGTTGTAACAGAAAAGATACAACCACGAGTGTTTGTAACTAATTTGCATATTTGTTAAAATCTCATTTGTATGGCGTATACAGGGGTGTGCATGTGACTTAATCCGTGAAAATTGATTGGCTATCAGCCTCATTAATTATTCATGAATTTCACAAATATAATTAAACAATGTTGTTTATAGTTTAGCTTTTTAACTCTGTTTGACCCAGTTAATTGTTAATTTGTAAGGGACCGGTCACCGATCATTATTTATGGAAGGGGG